GCCAGGCTGGATCAGGGTGGAACATTTTCATTGGGATTGCATCAGGACACTAGTTGATGTCAATTGCTGCAGTGATTTTTTTGCTAATTGCCAGGCTGGATCAGGGTGGAACATTTTCATTTCATTTTCCTCGTTCAAGTGGGATGGAGGCAGGCTGGGCACGTAAGGAGTGGCTTTGAACCATTCTGCTGTGGCCGTCCATGACAACACGATGGCAAAAGCAGACTGTTAGGGTAGATAATTGGGAATGAGCCAGTGGCATCAAAGCAGCAGGCAAGAGGCTGCATGCAGCATCCAATTCAAGCTGGAACATTGGTCTGGTCTGCAAGATACCCAGCCTTGGTACTACCAGGCATAGTGCATATACCAAGGGGCAGGGTCACCTAAAAAGCTGCAAGGCTGATGCAGTGATGATTTGAATATTTTTCCATAAATATTCCTTGAACATAAATGATGGTGATGAAATCATAAAAGCAATTGGCTTTTTTCTCAAAACAAATAGCGCCTAAAACAGGTAGAGATGTCCTTCTTTTCCAGAGTATTATTGAAAATTAATAGACCATCTGAGTGCAGTATCATAAAGTCTGTATCCATTTTTTTTCCATACCTGCAGATTCATCTCCAGCAGCTCTCCATCTGTTTGCAGGCTGTTTTCTTATCCAGTGTGATGCCTCAGGTGCAGAAGAGAGAGACAGTAATTAACAATGTGGCCTACAGCATCTTGGGGAGCGATTAATTTTAGTGAATGGATAGGGGAGGAAGAAGAGGGAAAGTAAGCTTTGCACATTTGGCTGCTCGTGCATGCATGGCTGTGCATAGTGGATAGATACACATAGATATGTGTGTATCTTCCAAGAAGCCTATTTTCAGCACTCAGGCTTTCGGTCTCTTGCAATGACTGTTGTGTACAGAAACTACTTGAAAAAGACAGTGCCATCTGCACTGAGGAGATTAGGGGGTGTCAAGGAATATTCTTTTTCACTTCTCACATTCCTGCTTCTTTCCATCCTGTGACTGGAAAAATCCCAGCTTTTCACCTGTCAAAACAGTTTTGAAGCTGGTCTCTGATGTATAGAAACCTGTGAGACAGAACCATGACAGCTATGTACTGTCAAAGGAGTATGACTGCATAAAAAACCACCAACCAAACCCAATACTGCTGAGTAAAAGAACAGAGAAATGTATGAGGGTGCACTAGCGTGTGGGGTAGGTTTTTTTCATGTGTGTTTATGTACATACACTGATCAGGGAATATTGACTTGTATATAGGAAGACCATTTCACCGATTTATACATAGAGAGATTATAGTGTGTATACACAGCACTGAAAATTAAAGATCTGCACATCTACAGAGAGGTTAAAAATTAAAACTGTATGATCAATTAGTCTTTTTTTTCCCCCAAAACTCTTGGTCCTAGAATTAGAAAACGATATCCATTTATAGGCTTTCAAATGCAAGTGGCCTCATTTCAGATGTGCTGAACAACGGCTGCATCTGCTGGCTTCTCTTATTAAGACTGGCTCCGTTTCTGAAAAGCAGCTGTCAGGAAGGAGATCCTACAGGATCTCCTCTGACGTGTCTAGCTAGCAAATAGCCAAGCATGACTGCAGTACCTACGTGCCATGTGAGTACAGCTGGAAATAGAGAGAAGTGGCGCTGGGAGTTCTGCTTGCTGCGTAGTCTTCACGGAGGCATCCAGCAGAGATGCTGAGGGAGGAACCCCACTGCACACTAATTAAGTATTTTTCTGCTTTGACTTCTTTAGTCCTTTTTCATATCCCTTTGTCCCTTCTCCCTCCTTCACACGCTGGTGCCCATGCTGAATGCAGAGACTATATGAACCAGCAGAACAAAACACTTGCTGTGTTGGTTTTGAGAGTGGGATATCACACGGATGTGACTGCTCACTTCTGGGTGCTGCCCAGGCAAACTAGGTATTTCGAAACTGGTTCATCTCACAAGTGCATGGGCAGATTTGGCAAATGGTTGTGTTAATAAAGGGCACCTGAAAGCTTGATTGTGAGCCCAAATAAGGTGCGTTCTAAACCTTTGACTTTATTCTGCAATTTTGTAATTGAACAAGTGTGTGTGCTGCAGAGAGAAGATAGAGTGCTAGTGGAAAGCTAGTAGTGCATTCATCCCTTCAGAGAGCAAACTCATTTGCCCTTTTCTTTTTATGCCTCCTTATTCAAACAATTAAATAAATTAAAACCAAGAAAATGTTCTGCTCTGAGCCCCTCTCAAATGTTTTCAGGCAGTAAAATAAATGAGAATCAGTAATCCAATGCAAAACTGATTTGAGCATGTTTACATGTTATTAGGAGGCTAAAAGGTTTATTCATGCCTTTGGTTCTGAATTGATGTAAAAATGTGTGCTATGTCTGTAGAAACAGCTGCATGTAGAGGCTGCTGTTGGCTGGCTGCTCTCTGTGCAATCAGGCATTTGTCTTTTTCTCCTCCAAATGTCCAGACTATGACAGCAGGGAAGGCTACAGAATGTCTTTCAGGGTGTGAAAGCTGTCAGTTGTGCCTCCAAGAGAGGACTGTGCTATGAAGGTAGAAGTACTTTGCTATAAGGAAATGACATGCTGGGACAAAATGTAAACTTCTCTGGAATGTGAGGAGCAGATTATGTTAATATCTTCATGTCAACTTTGCCCTCTTGATGCACTTCATGCTACATCAATTATACTGTAACTTTTCAAGCTGCTGTCTGTAAGTAGCATTGTTAGCTATAGCCAAGGGTTGGAGAAAGATTATCCTTTTAAAATTTGATTGCTTGCTCAACAGAAAGCAACAAGAAGGGAAAAAAAAAAAGTAAAGTGTTTCCAGATCCTATAACGAAATGGAATTTCATCTACTTTTGCTTCTAAATACAATTGAAAAAACTGAAATTCCCATGTAGTATTCACTACACCCTTAATATCTTTGAATCCTCCAGATTTCACAATATAAAAAATTGCAACGTGAAATATAATTTTGTTTATTATATATGCATGATACTGCATAGAAGTATAAGAAGAGGTTTCAACACCAAAAAAAAAGAAAAATAGAATGCTCTACTTTGCCAAAATGCAAAATACAACATTCTACTCTCATAATAGCTTACTCAAAATCAATTGTATATGGCAAAGTTTCATCAAAATCGACACATTCCCATGAATTTTCTCATAGCACTCAAGCTGCTAACTCCAGTGAAAGCTGTTCAGTTTAAAAGTTTGCAGCCTGTCCTAGGTTCCACAGGCTTATTTTGGTTTAAAATGCAGTTTTTAATGTCCTGGCTTGTGTTACTCCATTTTTGCATTGTAAGTGGAAATGAATTTATGGCGTGAAAAAGAAAGCAAATGGTAGGGCAGGGAGCTCTTCCATAACAAAGAGAGTAGAGCATAGAGCAGACGAAGCAACTCCCAGTATGTGAGTTTTGCACAGCTGCAACTTCTGTAATTCAGTGATATTTCTTTTATTTCTCCCAGTTCTTGTTCAAATGGCTACTGAACATGAAGGATAAGATGCTCGTAACTCACACTTTTTAAACACTTGTTAGCAAAACTACTCTTTCTCTTTCATATCAATAGGGGTTAATGTTATTGCTTGAAAGAATATCAGTCTTTCATGCTCCCAGAAACGTTTTTGTAATGTACATTCACTTGTATGATTAAAGGCAGTCTAGGTACTGGGCTTTCTGATGTTAACACAGAAGGAGCTATATAAATTACACCAGTGAGTAAATGGTAAGAGGGAAGAAAAGGTATAGTCAGAGTGACATCCTCAAAAGATTTACTAGAAGAAAATGAAAGAAAACAGTACAAAAGTGGCTGTTGAAAAATTAGCATTTGAAGATGGGAGAATAACGTGGAAAGAACTGTCCTAGGCACAAATTCTGTGCTGCCAGAGAGCACAGTTGGAGTCTCAGCCCTCACTGATAAACTGCGATCTACCTAAACAGGGAAGTGATGCCAGGACAAGGCATATGCCTCCTGAGAGGTGAGACTCGTGTATCTGTCTTCAGATCTCTCGGCACGTAACCTGAAAACATGACAGGAGAAGAAACAAATGGGAGGAAGAATTCTTATGCTCAAAAGTTGTGATTTTATTTCATTGAAAGGCGGTTTGGTCCTGCAATAACAAGGCATAGAAGAAAGAGCAATCCAGTAGCAGTACTGAAAATGTTCATAAATTATTGTGAACATGCCCTGTTGAAATGTTCTTGGTTTCAGAGAGAACTGAGGTTCCTTAGCCTCGTGTAATGATGAGCCTGGCCTAGAGCAGTAAGAGAGGAGAGGAGGCAATCAAATGAATTATAAAACAGAATTCAAAGTGCACTGGTAAGGGAGAGTGCTTTTTTTTTTTCAGTGCTTGTCTCTTTCCTGCTGCTGGCAGTCCATGATGATAGGGTAAAGCTACCATGTACCAAGCAAAAATCAAAGCAAAGGGGTATTTATACGATGATGAATTCTTCCTTGTCCCTGTTTACTGTCACTGAGACACCTCTTCGTGTACACCTCTAAGAATGGCTAGCAGTTACTGTATTCCCTGTCTCCTGACCTACAGTTGTTCCTTAGCCAAGCTATGCATATTTTTTGCTCATTTAATTTTTTCTTTGAAGTCATTCCCTCCAGCTTTTTGTCATTTGTCTTGCTTCTGTCTGAACTCCTTCCAATTCATCCTGGCATGTATGTAGCCAGATGGGGGTATCTGGGGTATGCTTTCAGGAATATGCTATCAGGAAGGACCACCCAACCCATTCCATCTCCCAGGTGACCTTGATAAGCTCATGGGATCACTGGTGGCCCTGGTGCCTCCCTGCTCCCTGCCTCTATTTTACAGACTACACACTGTGGAGTATTTGATAAAAGTGCTGCAAATTGCACTGGCTGTTATTTTTGGTTTATTTTTTGTTGCTACTGCATACCACAATCCCAATTCTGATCCTTCTTCCTGTGTATACCCTTTAGATCATTTTCAGCATTTCTACCTTTCCGTTTTCTTTCTCCCACAGAGCATCTATGCTGCAGTATGTGATTCATCAGATACGCTCTTCTGCATTTTTCCAATATCTATCTCCTTCAACGTTTCTAGGCGGTATCATCAGGCTCCTTAGTGCATTGCCTCAGGTATTTGTGTTTCTCCTCGATGGGCTCCTCCCATGAACTAAGAAATTGATTATTGTCTGGATTTTATAAGATCAAATCACATAATGATCCCCACATTACAAACAGCAGATTTTGGCTCAGTTTGCTGCACTTTTTCCGTTTCCTAATTCTCTCTCCAGAGCCTTAGTCAAGAATACAGGCTGTGTGATTTCTCAACAGGTTTCCCTGCTATGCTCCTCATTTGGAACTGAAGTTAATTAACAGTTCTTCCAAGCACTTGTTGGCCTTCAGTGATGCTTGAACAGTGGGTTCTGCAGCCTTGAAAGTGAGACTGTAAATAATGGAGATCTCTTGGGTCCGCTTTTAAAAGAAGAGATTGCTGTCCCATCCCAAAGTGAAAATATTATTGTTCTTTGTAAACTAACACACCCCTCGTTTTCCCAAATGTGAAGACAGTGTCAAAGGGAAGGGTAGTGGAAATACCACAGAAATACCATAATTCCTTAACTGAAAAAGACTAAGAGCACTTTCAAACTTACCGTGTATTTTGACAGAAAGCTATTAATGAAGGATGGCCTCATTAAAAGATGCTATAGAAGTATTTCAGGCAGGCAATCTGTGTAGATACTCTGTTTTGGGCAAATTTCTTTGTATTGTTGGATGCTACTAAAAAATAAAGAAGTTTCTGCTTCTTTAAGGATCTAATGCTCTCTGAGCCTGCATCTACTTGAGCAAATACTGCAGCTCAACAGGACTGGACCCGTAGAGGTGCTGAGGATCTGATGTACACGTTGTACCTGATTCCAGATTAATTTAACCTTAGACTAGGTCTGCTCTGATCCCAGGAACTGAAGGCATATTAAGAACTGGAGAGCAGTGGGTTCATTCCCCAAGCTCATTTTCTTGTTTAATTTCAACGGAAGGGAATCCTGAGACTGATCCCCAGTGCAAACTAAGGCATGGTAATTGGAAAAAACTGGGAGATTTGGCTTCAGAAATGCATTTCTGATCTGAAATAAAACCTTATGGAGACACAAGTGGAGAGCTCATTTATGCAACAAATATACTCATAAATACAAATAAATGCATTTCTTTGAATTTCTTTTTTAATCAAAGAAAAAGTTTGTGGATTTGATAAAGAACAAAAACTTACCTCATTTACATAACTGGAACTTCAGCTGACAGAGATCATCTACTTTCCAGAGCATTATTTGTATGCACATTTAAGCACAAACCCATGTTATATATTAATGGAAACAGATACAGTACGTTATTTTAAATAGTCAAAATAATTTCTGCATTTGCTTTTCCTGTTTCTATTTTTAAAATGTGGTTTATTCACATTTTTAGAATAAATAATAGAATAAAAAAATATAAGGGGGGGCAAAATTTATCTGTAGAAATTAAATACTAACAGTAATTTGATAAATAGATAATTTCAAAATTGGGCTACTGAGGAACAGTATCAGAAATTAGTTGTTGTTATCAATCATATGAAAACTAGTTAAAGATTAGAGACAAAAAATGAGATATGATACAAACACTGCCTGTGTATCCCGTCTTTCATTACCAGGCCTCTCCCAAGTGTGGGATTAAGACACCTGATCTATGGTGTCCACGTGGGAGCAAGCACCTGAGAGTCTAAGCTCTCCTTCCTGACAAAGGAGATACAGACAACCCAGCCTAAGGACCAGAGCATCTGCAAGGCAATGGCAAAGGACAGTCATCAGTTGCCTACAGATAGCTCTGAGGGCCCTCTGAGATGCCCGAAGGTTCCCCAGATGGCCAGTGTCAAAGGAGGCCAGGAGGGATTCTGCACTCCCTGGAACACGAGCTAGGGGCCAGGCTGGAGGCTCCACAGCACCTAGACAAGAGGAGGTGCCTATGTTTAGGCACCTGAATCCCAGGGAGGTGTCCAGGTGAGCTCTTCCTAAGGAACTCCTTAGCATCTACTAACTAAAAATAGAGTTTAGATATTTACATGTGAATGCCCAAACCGAATCCCTCCCTTGGTGTCAAATAGGTAACTCAATGTTAATGATCAAGACAAGGTAGAAAAAGATACGACCACATCCAAAGTCATTCTGTTTCATTTTGTGCATTTTTTCTTTGTTTATATACCTGCAATTAATTCCCTCCAGTTAATTAGCTCCATCATTGTTCATTTACAGACTTTGAGCAGGTGAAGATAACTAAGCGACTACTTCATGTCACCTCTTGTTTTGCACCTGGTATTATGTGCAATGGTGTGTCACCGACGAGCAGACCTTGCAATACATCTGTCCTCTCAGGACATGGCAGAGACTGGTTTTCTGGGGAGCAGGGCACAGAGCTAAGCTGAAGGAATAAATATGGGAATAGCTCCACTGCTGTTAGAAAATGAGCTGTTTGAGTAGTCCCTGCTGGAGCCATATTCTACATGTCTATAGCCATACCCTATATAACTATAGAGATTAGTTTTCTTATAATAGCAATAATGAGGCTGATTAATGTAGTGCCAGTCAGAGACCAGTCTATTTCTGTAATGCCAAATAGAGCCTTTTTAAATAAAATGGGCTTCTGCTTCTGGCTGAATACTGCTAAACCTCAGGAAATATGTTTTATGAACTTCAGGACCATCCATCCTTTCTCATTGTCTTCCTATCACTTATTCCCCATCTGCCCCTCAATTTCGCTGTGCCCGTGTGCCCTGTCCTTTCCTGCCCTGTCTAACCTGAAGGACCTGTCCTCATTCACCTCTGACCTGACCTGCCACCTTTATTTGTGCTGTAATCCCTGCATCTTTGTCAGCTCTTGCATACTGAAACATTGCAAGGTTTTAAAAGAGCTGTCACCCGGTGTTGATGTGAGATATGCTGGGGCCTGTGATTTTGAAAGGACACTGCAGTAAAAAAGATTAATGAAAACTTGTTACATAGGGAAAAGACTTTTCCCTGTTTAGCAACAGAGACAAAATTCACTCAAAAGCAGAAGGTCAATGCAAGGGGAATAAATCATCTAATCCTAGCTCGAGAAACTAAGAAAGATGAAGATTTGTGGTGGCTTTCTAAAAAGGGATAATTTTTGTCAGGGGAGAGCAAGACTGGGCAGGTTTCTTCAGGTGCTGTCAGGGCTGATGGGACATGAGGCAGGGCTGGCAAAGAGACTGGGTTGGTGGCATTGAGCTTGAGATATTTGCTTGGTGGCAAACCAATGTGCTCAGCTCCAATGTGCAAACTGATGTGCACCCCTGCCTACTATGCAAGCATGTGGCTTTTTGGACAATCTGTGGCTGATGTCAACGCAGCTGACTGCAGACAGAAGGAGTTTGGCAGATTCTCTGGATTTGCTCAGATATGCCACAATAACAGACAGGAATGCCAAAAATCATACCAGCATATCTGAATTTGGGACTTTTCACTTATTTTTCCTTTGTCATGTCATGTTTCCTGGAGTTTCTTGAGCAGTTTCACTGAATATCTTATTATTCTGTGTTTGATTACATTGAAAAATACATGCAGCTTTTCAAAACACTGTCTTTTGCTTCAAGGTGGATTGCTGCTGTCTCAGAAGCTCTCTTCCTTCCCTTATTGCGGTTGCTTAAGATGATAACTGTGAGATTAAGGACATGGACAACAGATCCACTAGGCAGAGAGGGAGCTTCAAAGGATATACAATTCTCTGAGCTTTGTTGTTCCTTCCTGGCAGTGCTAGACAGTGCACTTAGCATCTGACCTTGTGTATATACTGTAGGAAGCTATGTGACCCTTGGAGTCACCCATTTTCTGCTGGTAATTGAATATGAACATGCAGTTTAAGTGTGTATCATGGTTGTTTGCTAACGTTTATCTTATCAGAATGCCTAAAAGCCATGACCAGCTGGGTCCCAGTTATACATAAAACTACAAAGTCTGGACTCCTTGCCCAGGCGTCTTGAAAGCAATTTGCTTGTCAGGGACTTGAGCCCTCCAGGTTTTGCTGCAGCCGTTTCCTCCCTCCCCTGGCATGTGCTCAAGACCATCAAGCTCTGACACAGTGGTGCTGTGCAACCAGGGGTTGGCCATGACTGGGGCCAACCAGTTGTGAGGAAGAGCTGTAAGAAGCCTCTGGAGACCACCCCTTAGCTCAGGAGCTCCGGCCTTGGTGCTTTGTCCCTGTGTGGTCACTGTAGCCATGCCCATGTCTGCCCATCACCCTAGCCTATCCTGCTCTTGCCTCCCTGTCTTCACTCTGCAGCCATTCCATCCCCATGGCCATGCCTGGCTGTCCCAGTGCTGCAGGAGGCCCTCATCACCTTTCCTTGCCTAGCTCTGCTTGCTGCCCCTGGCTGCAGTGGGATAGGGTTGTGTGAGGGAGGTGTCCCTGCCCTGTCCTGCCCCATTGCCCAAACACTCTCTTCCCTAACCTCTCAGCCTTCTCTTCCTGCTGACAGACATGTCTTGTGCTTCAAGCATCTATTATTTGCACAGACATAGTCTGCTGATAGTTCCCAGATATGTGTATATGTTTAAAAACATGTACCCCTTGATCACTTGGAGCTTACCATGCAAGGGCACTAAATAAGACTGTCCTGGGGAGCTTTTTTAATTGTAGGATGGAGGAAATTCCTCTGCGGAAGAGGTTGCTCAAAGGGAACTAAAGAGCAGTTTGGCTATGAAATAAGCCCTGGGCGACTGTGAAACCGCTGAAAAAGAAGCAGTGAAGGATCTAGCTATAATGCAAACGCAGGCACAGATGCCCCTGTTGGAAAGATGTGCTTCAATTCCAGGCTTTGTGAATGACAGTTTAATTGCTGGGTCTCTGTGTTTGTGCTTCATCCACTACAAAGAAGAAAATAAGTGGGAATAGAAACATGGGAATAGGCATGCTGGTAGTAACTAGAGCTGTACCAAAATGCTATGTACAAGCCAATGGTTTTATAATGGGTACATCTGCCCACCTCACAAAACCACTACAAAAACTGGCAGGATTTGCAGCATCTGCTGCGAAAGTTTGAGCTTCAGAATAGCAAAAGGTGTTGAATGCTGGAGATTTGGAGTTTA